ACACACACACACACACACACACACACACACACACACACACACACCTGTAGGCATCAGAGACTGGAGCAACCTAATTACGGAAATACCCGGTGCACATTTCCAATCGTGACTTCACAATCGTCATGATAAAGATGAGACGCTCCTAACCTACGAGGAAAAACACAAACATTATCATTATCTTAAGGCTTCCAATCTGTTCATGACAGATGGCCCGTGTTTACGACATCGTGAACATAACAGGCTTCACAGTCGTAATATTCTGGTTCAGAGTGGTCACCAGAGGAAAAACATGACAAATAAGCATTTTCCTTATGAATCGGACAAATCTGCACTGCAAAGTATCACCGTCTAAACATCCATGGTGAAAGTACAACTGAATGTTTCGCTGTAAGGAAACCGTGCACATTTCTTTTGACAAACAAAACATTTTTGGTGAGTCTTGTGTGAGTAATGAAGGTTAGCGTCTGTCACTTCTGCTCTGAAATCATTCAAATCCCTAAAATTGACCATAAAATGGCGAGAAAAGTACATTTACCATTTGTGAATATGCAAATATTTTTCATTTCATTTTTACTACAAAGAGCTTCCATTTTGTGTTGATTTTGGCGACCCCTGTGTAAAAAACCCAAACGGTAGTGTTTCCATGAACACAAGAGTCCCTTTAGAAAAACCTCATTTTACTGCAGCAGAGTGTGACAGTCTGCTGCAGTAAAACCAAARTAATAGAAACAATATGGAGAACCTATAAGGCACTGTAAAAACAAAGGTTTATGCATTGTATTTTAATTAAAAATCCACTTGCCTCTGTAATTCCTCGTTAAGACATTTTGGAAAACAGCCATTTAGTTTCCAATTACACGGATGCGTCATTTCTCCATCACACACACACACACACACACACACACACACACACACACACACACACACACACACACACCTGCATATAGTGGAGAAGCACCCAGCTTCTCCCCGTCGGTGATGCGTTCAGAGCTGCGACCCGCTTCAAACTGAGCACAGCTGCCGCGACGAACAGCAGCCCTAATGAGACGCTTCCATTTCAACGGCTCGTGTTTTTCCAACAGTCGACGCCGAAGCCCCTCGGAGCGTAATCCTCACTAATGCTGGTGCGTTCACTCACAGGTTGTGTGTCATACATGCAGCAGAATCATTTTACGGTAATAAATACAAGGTTGAGTCTTACAAACGCGCTTTATTTAATCTCAAGTTATTGAAAAGAAGAAAGTGTGATGTATTCGTCCTCACTGCGCGAACAGTACATCTGTTCTCCTCCATGTTCAAGTAATAGAAAATATAATAGTCTGCTCACAGCACTGCCTGGGACAAACAACCGCACGTTACACGTTAACAGAAGTCACATTCACTTTGGAATGCGAGCCGCCGATATCTGAACGCTGTCCGGATACTTTCTTTTCTCCTCGCTGCACCGTACAAACATCAGCGGCTCGGTCGTAAGAAAATATGTCTGATTCCGAAAAAGAATACTACAGTCATTACTCTGCGTATGAGTCAATTATGAGTCGTCTCACTGTAAAACTCACCAAGGTCCTCGCCATGACGACGGCTGCTGCTGCTGCTGCGCCAGACACTACATCCAACATTAACACCCCGCTCGGAAAAGCACGACAACTGAAAGTAACACGAGGGACATTCATGGTTAGAGCTCGTGATGGACCCAAGAGGCGAAACGTGTTTCTGTAATCTGCAGTTTTAGCAATCGGGGACAGTTTGTGTACTCAGATACAAGCCTCTGAGCGTCCTGTCGGGTATTTTCCTGTAAAAATCATCGTGCTGCTGGCAACGACAACCAACCACCTGAACATTTTGCACATTTTCTTTTTTTTTGGGGGGAAAATGTGTTTCCAACTTTGTGGCTGTTTTGTGAGTTCTGAGTGTGAAAGGACACAGAATACAGAGGAGTCTGCTTTGGTCTTGCACTATAGAGACTCCTTGAAAAGCAATCAGCGCCTGGACAAAGCCATGGATGCTTAGTCAATACAGCTCCTTCAGCTCGGTACAGTATTTGCCAATAACGGAGACGCCGGCGATAAGGACCATTCCGTGCCTCCCTAGACTCTCTAGTGCTAATCCTGCTAACATTTCAGGTGCTTCTTGCTGGTCATGTCGTTCCAGATACGGTGCATCTCCTCCGGGGAGATCTGGTGGACGGTGACCACCCGGCGGTAGCGGCAAAGGCTGTAGGCCATCTTCCAGTGGTTGAAGCCGCTGTTCTGGAACGGGTGGATGGCCAGCTTGCGGAGGCACACGCCCACGTACACGTCCTCCAGGTGCAGCAGCCGGGTGTGTAAAGAGGTCTGGTATATGAGCTCGGCCACGTCCGCCGAGAAGACGTAGCCGGTGCCGGAGCAGAAGGGCGGGTACTTGCTGTCGGGGTACAGATCCCTTGGCATGTACCACTTGCTGCGCATGTCTCTGATCGGCCCGCCGTTGATGACGTAGCCGGTGAAGTACCTCCTCCTGGGCTTGGTGGTGGGCTTCAGGAGGTTGAAGATGAGGTTCTCCATGTTGACAAAGATGTCACTGTCCGTCTTCAGGACATACTGGGCCTTGGAGCAAAACGTGGCCACCCAGCGCATGCCCATCAGCGTCTTGAGCGTCAGGTTGTGGTACGAGTCGATGAAATCCTCCACCACGACGTCGTGGAAGATCTGGCTCTCCTGCTCCACCATCTGGTTGAGGACGACGTCGGTGCTGCGGCCCAGCAGGAAGAGCGTGACCACGCGCACGTCCGGGAGCGTGCTCTCGTCGCCCCATGTCTCCCGGATGGCCTGGCGGGCGTCGAATTCCTTGTGGGTGGTGCTGATCAGGATGACAAGGAAGGGGGGCTCCGCCTCGCACTTCTTGGCCTCGTTTATGAGGTAGCCGAAGTCGTGCGGGTTGAGCGAGCGCGTGCGGATGTTGCTGAAGGTGCCGTTCTTGCCCGCATTTGGCGTTTTGCGTATGGGGATGGTCAGCTGGCCCCCGTCGGAGGAGGAGGGGCGTGACAGACTCAGGTACCACAGAGCGCTGGCCCAGCAAACCACGGTCAGCAAGTACAAGCAGGAGACCTTAGAAGGCATCGCTGTTCACTCGGCTGGCGTTAGCAGCGTTGGAAACGTCGAGGCCACGCCTCCATGGGGTTGTCTCGGACCTGGCGGCGCAGCTGGAGGCTGCCTCCACGACGCAGCGGACATCAATCTCAAGATAATGGGCTTCTCTACCGTCTAGAGTTGGTGCGACTGAAAGGGAGCGCTGCTGCGGCGACGTCTTCCCGCGTCCAAGGCCTCACCGGGTCCCATCGCAGCTCGCCAGGATGCTTTTAGCCCTCTGTGGCGGCGTCTAAAGAAAAGACAGAAAAGACGAGAATACAGAGAGTCAGTGGCGAGGTAAATCACAAATACATAATGAAACCGCAGCAGTGTGACAAGCATGTTGAGTAAAGGTGAATCTCATTTCCACGTAGAGGCATTTATAGCGGCAAAGTGCGTGTGACACATCTAACGAAATGCTTTACTCAGTATTCATGGCAGCCCATAACAGCAGCACTGGCTCGGCGGGCGCCACCGCCAGTTATCAGTCTATCAGCACACCGATAACGCCTCTGTGGTCTGAAGAAAGTGCATATCCCAGGAAACGCTCTTGCCGATGGGGCCTCGGCTCCGACCGCTTTCTGTTTGCAAATGCTGTTTATCTCCCTCTTACCCCCCCGGACCAGACACAGGCCGGCGAATCAGAGCCACTCCGGCAGTCTGAGGAGGAGGAGGGGTGAGACAGAGAGGCATCGAGGGTGAGGAGGTGAAAATGAATCGTTCTCATGTGAAGAGATTAACATCCACTTCCTCCCGCCTCACCCTTTCCACACCTCAGTGTCGAGCTGAACTCGCTGTCTGGATTTTTACATATTTTTTTTACTCTGCCCCTCCTTTGTTAGCTGGACCGGCGCCGCCGCGGAGCAACCTTTAGCACGGCCGCTCTAATTGGCCACAGTTGACGGACCGCGAGCGGATGAATTCCAGCTCCAAATACGGCTTTATTATGCCACGATGCTCGCCTCCTGTATTCATATGTGTTTTAACGCCGGCGCCGGATGACCAATTCACAGGATGTTTGGTGTCGAACTAATCCTTCTTTACAAGCAGACTTTTATGCTATCTCTTTTTTTATATTCTGGGGATAACGCATGACTGACGATGAGCAAAAAAAGAAAGAGAAGTGGGATAGATCCTATTAGAGATACTGAAATGTGCCACGAAGCTGCTTGTGCTCTGTTTTAAGATGGAAGGGCCGAGATAAAGCCGGCTCATTCTTTTATCAGACTCTGGATTTTCTGCCGGTTCTTTTCATCAGGGCTTTTCTCTTATTCCACCCCCCGCCCCCCACTATCTCTTCCCTTTCCTTCTCTTTCTGAAGCAGAGTCATCAATCTCATGGTCCGGTGGAATCCATCTCATCCCGGCTGCTTTTCCACACCTCCGTCCTCTCGATCACTCCCTCCTTCTCTACTTCGGCGGGCGCTTGATCCATTCTTACCCGTCTCACTACCTCTCATCCCCCCCGTCTCACTCTCTATCCTTCTGGCCTTTTTATTGTTGTTGGGCCTCCTCGTTTCAAGCTTCCCACACTCCCTCGCTCTCATTCACGTTGAGCTCTCTCTACTCTTCTCCGTGTCATTTCCTTTCCCCTCCTCACAGCTTGCCTCTAACTTATTGACAGCTCCTACCGCAATCTGTCTCCCTGCAGCCAGTCGATCCGCCCTCCTCCTCCCTCACTCTCTATCGCTAAATCATCGTCCCCCTTTCCTCGACCTCGCTCGCCCTGTATTGCGGATCGGCGCGAGCATCGTTTCCCCGCGGAGGGCCTGTTGGTTTCATCATCCGACAAAACTGCAGAAGGACCCGCGTCGTCAATCGCCGATTGCGCCTCATGAGGTCCTGAGACCAAACGTTCGTCTGTGTGGCTTCGTGCCGTCTTTGGTGCTCAGTAGAAGTCATCTCCTGAGAATGTTAGGACGAGTACTCGGGAGATCAACTACTTCACAACCAAACTCTTCTTCGCTACCCAAACTGTAAGACTTGATACTCATGTAAAACACTAATAACGTTACCGCCAGCAAAATACCTCCGCTAATTAAATCCATGCTCTACTTTATAACCACGGCGGTCTCCTTCTGTCTCCTGTAAACTGTGGAGTGAAACTATTCACTACCGATGGCCAAACGGCTTTATCAGCACAATGCACTTAACACTTAACATCTGCTCAAGGTGGAGCAACATAACCAGTGGCTTTTCTCTGTCAGGTGTGTGTAGTACTACACTGTTTCCCTCTGAAGTAGAAGTACGCAAGTGTAGAAGTACACAAGTGCACACTTTTTAAGTGCTTTGGCTTCTGTAAGTTATTTGGGGGTCCACTGAGTTTTAATAGTTACAACATTCAATAATGTTTTCATGTCAACATCAAGTATTGACAGTCATGAAGTAAAGTGTGACTGAGCGTTCACTCATCTACTGTGGTGTCACAGAGAGCGCGTGACTCATTTAATGAATCCCGACGACGCGGGAGGAACCGTGCGGCCGCTACGTTTCACTCCTTTTTTACTGAAGAACTGCTACAACCTGTGGAACAGGACCTCGCTCACCATTTCTCGTGTACGAGGGAACGTCAACCATGTGCTCATAATCGCATTTGGACTCTCGTAAAAAAAAACATGATCGGCGATGGACATCTGAGAGCTGCCGCCGCCGCTGCGGTTTGATTGCAGCAGTGTGTGTGTGTGTGTGTGTGAGACCTCCTTTTGACTGGGTTATGGCTCTGAGAGGAATTGATGTGACATCTGCGGGAAATCTTTTGAATCGTGTGACAGGAATAGAATTCCACAGAATTTGTTTACAGGACCACGTAGCCAGAATAGAAGGGTCCATTACATCATATTTTATGTAAAGAAAACGGTGGACGTTTTAATGCTCACAGCACAATCATCAAGTCTGCCAGCTGTGTTTTCCAAAGCGGCTCTTCTAATGAGGCTGTCCCCAATCAATGCCGGTCTTCCTGTGTCTCGTCATTAATGACTTTGCTAACACACAGACAGACAGACACGTCTCTATCGTCTCGGTCGGTAAGCGGACGCACGTGGCGAACCGCAACCTGTCAGTCAAAACGGATTCATTAAAATCGGGAACGAATAAAAAGTCGTCGGCTGTTTGGCCCGCAGCTGTGGCTTATGGAAAAGCTCTGCTGCTCATACAGTTTTATACGGTTATGCCGGGTGTGCCAGCTTGAGATTTAGATGGCACAGCCACGTCCCTGATGTAGAGCGGCATTTAAGTACTACTGCTAGTACTACTAGTACGACTGTAGATCACCAACACGACGGCCCTGCTGGTGAAATAACACCAAAAATACCATCAGTAAAATAAGGTGTTACAGCACAATATTGACTTATTATTAACACCCGGGGGGGGGCCTTCCGTACGCCGGCGTTAATCGCTAAAGTGTTTTAAATGTAAAGGAGGTCGATTTAGCGACCTCGCGCTGAGCTCTGCAGCAGCTCGATCCCAGACTCCACATCATCGTCACGTCTGTGTGGAGGAGAGACGCTGTGCCCGTGATCAAACACGTGTCCGCTCCCTGAGAGGAGGCTGCTGAGAGAGGAAGTGGATTTATATTTTGTGTTGATTGAAAATCCATCTGACATTCAGAATCCATGCGGTTTTCCTCTGTTGCTTCGCACTAACAACCGAATATATTTGGGGTTTGGAACAGAAAAAAAGAAAATAAAAGGCAATAAGTCACCTTGGGCTTTGGGATGGAAAAAGCGTTCTTCATAATTTCTGACGTTATTGGCAAAATGATGAATCCGTTGAAAGTGTACACTCCGGCGACTTAGCGTCCCACTTTACATCAATTTGGAGGATTCGCAAAAGTTTTGGAGCGGCTTGATGTGTTGGAGGTCGGGGTTCAATAGCATCTCACGCGTCTTGATGAAATACTTTTTTTGTCGTGCGTTTGTTGTGTTACAAAAAGGCTCCAACTAGATTACGTTGTGCATCGCTGTGTTGCATAATGACGAGTAAACCGATCTTTAATGCGTAGAATTGCCTCATACTTAAATAAAGATAACCAGCAGAAATAAGCACTAGTTTGCAGCCTTCGTACTGTCCGCCGCACATCATTATATCATGATTTGAACAACTGCTTCGAGAGCTGGAGTTTGCAGCAGCACCGTGTTATTATCACACATTAAATAGATCCAGGACAGATTTTACTATCATGCAGTGTTTGGGTTCACGGGGGGACCTTGAACTGCTCGGCTGTCTTTACAACCAGCTGAGATGTGGGAGTCTCAGCATCGTTTAATGTCGCAGCAGATAATTGATTGCGATCATTAGCGCAGCGTCGGGTGACCTTGGCTGGGGGGGTGCGTGTAGTCAGCGAGGGAGGGAGATACAGAAAAAACAAAAAATGATGTAATGGACTCTTGTGTCAGCTGGTCTTTGCTGCATTCAAAGGAAACATGCGTGAGAGGTGAGCGTTTAGGGCGACGACGAATAAATCATACTCTGAGCTCGGGGGGGGGGGCTTCTGCTCTACGGCAGAGGTAGACAGGAAGCAGCCGATTTAAGCAAAGGAGGCTCTTTACATTACGATGTGGTAATAGCATTTGAAAGCGAGGCGCTACCTGTAAATACCATCCAGTAACAATCAAGTGGATAATGGAAACAATAAATAATAGCTTTCTATGTCTCAAGGGGGAAAAAAAATGCTGCTCAGGACGAAATCATATTTATAAACACACTTGGCACTTTGACTTTGGGGGTGCGTGACATGGCCTTAGAGCGCCTGCGTATGCTTTATGATCGCTGAACAAGCAGCAGCTTCCCTGGAGGGAGAGTCTCAAACACTTTGCCCTCGAACACCCGAAAACAAAACAGACTCCAAGGCCAGTGAGAGCTGCATATGAATGTCTCCGCACCGGAAGGCACCAAGATGTGAATAATACGCAGCAGTGCTTTGGGAATTTAAACTACATTTGAGGATTCGAGCGACCCCCTCTTCTTCTTCTTCTTCTTTTGGATTTAAAGCACACAGAGTAGGAAGTTCTAAACGTATCAAAACACACACACAGAAAAACCTTTCCGGCGGATGCTGACACGAGCTTGTCCACAGCCCATAACTCAGCACCTTATCTCGAGCTCCTGCTGCTGAATTTGTGATAAGCTCAACAGGAGGTTTATAATCGTCAGCCACAAAAAAAAAAACAACTGTCTTCTGTTCGATGTTTGATCCTCTTTCCCTCCAATCTTCTGCCAAGTCTGAAACCCATTATGTCGGCTTCTAAACATT